CCACACCCACATCCACATCCACACCCACACCAACACCCTCAAGGTGTAAGATTCGCTTATTCTAGATACAGAAATACAATTTATAAATGCTGAGGGATGGGTGTGGGTGTGACTGCTGAAAAATATAACTGTCCTCACCACACACCCTCAAGATGATTACAAATTTCTGCATTTTGTATAGAAACATATAGTATAAGAAAACATAAGAATTAGATTATCAGCTCAAATAAAAATTCGATTTAGAATCTTTTAGATAAGATAGAATTCTATGAAAAATCTTTATTATAAAATTTTTTATTTTCCATCCTAATATTAGATTTTATTAACTATTCGACTAAAAAGAAAATTAGAATTCATTAGTACTAAAGAGTAAAGAGAAGTAAAATTGTAATCGATGTGAAACACAAACGAAATTATCTATTTTCTCTTTTCCAATAATATTTCGTATATTTGCTATTATATTGAAAAATTTAAAGTATTTATATTGATAAATAAATCATAATCAAAGGATTATTTAGAAAGCTTAGAATACTGTTATACCAGATCGATAATTGAAGACATGTATCATATTAAAATAAAAACTATCAAGAGGACTTATTTAAAAATATCAATTATGAAATATCTATCAAACACAACATATTGTTTTGTTGTCTCTAATGTCTGAACTATTTTTTAAATAAATATTATATTCTATCTTTTTTCACTATTAGATAGCCGAACAACTATACCATCAGCTTCAACATCAATCACAAATTCAGTTACAGTATCAGCTACAGTTTCAACGTCATCAATAGCTACATCATCAACAACAGTTTCGATGTCAACAATAGCCACATCATTAACAAAGGTTTCATCGTCAGCAATAGCCACACCATCAACAACAGTTTCGATGTCAACAATAGTTACACCGTCAACCACAGTTTCAACGTCAACGATGGTCACAACATCACAAAAGAGTAGTTTAACTAATACAATAATAAAATTATCATCAACAAGCGCTACAAGCTCTCTATCAACAAATCATTCATTTGCAACTCGTAATTCAAATTCAAGATTATTAGTATTATTACTATTTTGTTTCATTATGATTTTTATAAACAATTAATTTTTCATTTCATTCTATTATTAATCTCTTTCTAATGCTTTCAATGTCTTTATAATTCATTTGCTTATTGTCTCGTCAATGAGCTGAACCTGCTACAAATTCCATAATCATTTTATTTGTTCAACTAATTATACTATGTCTGCATTGCTTATTTGATTTTATTTGGGTGACGAGCAAAACAATCAACTAGTTTGTAACAATTTCATAGACAAATCTTTTTTCTTCTTAGGTTCATAATATATTTTGAATTTTTGTGAAAAATTATTTTATTCTCATATGATTGAATTCACTAAAGTTTTATTGTTTTTAATATTAAATATTTGATGTTGTACATGTCAAGAGTGATTTTCCTAATAAAGTATATGCTTTCTATGTATGATAAAGCTACACTCACACAAGGACACTAGTCACAGTTGATGTCACAATACAAGACATTAGTTAAACTACGATCACGTATTTTCATAAACATCGGTAAACGATTTTATAAGAATTAACGATATTTGTAGTTATGTATTTTCAATATATTCATTTTATTTTCATACTTAAATGTGTATCAGCTGAGAAAATGAAACAAGAAGAACTACACTAATACTGATCTAAAATATATCGATATATTTAAAAGTATGGAGTTAAATTTATTCAGGAAAAACACATCGTCGAAATGGTTTTCTAAGTTTATTTTAATTGAATAAGAAAAGAATATAAGGTACAAATGAAATAGTCATAAACGAATAGATAATCATCTACATGAACGACGAGTATATCGATACGTGTAAACAGAATGCGGAATGAAACCATGTGAAGTAATAGTTAGACGTGACTCACATTTCTCGACATATTTGAAAAGAGAATGCATTTTCGTAATTTCCTTAAAATTACCGACAGAAGAAAAACGACACATATGTGCTTGCATATAGATACGTAAAACTAATATTTTCAGTAATGGACATTGACGATGTAAATAATTCGCAATTTCTTGAATATTGATTGTGTCAACATCATTAACAATTAAATGAAATTGTAAAAGATTTGGAAAGAGTGAGAGAAGAAAAACGAATTGTCCGTTGTGAAAGAAAAAGTGTTTAAGTCGACCGAGTCGAAGATATTTCATCAATGGAAAACAACGATTGATGAAATGAAATGGAGGAATGGAATCATCACATGAAAAATCCAGATATACTAAACAAGGACAAACCAATAATATCTTTTCTAATACATGACCTTGTTGTCCTCGTATTGTTAATTGACGAAGATTTTGTAATTGTATTGTCATTGAAAATGAAAGAATAACTGACTCGCATTTACCAAGATGGCAGACTTTTAAACGAGGAAACTCACCATGAAATATCAGTTGTGTCAGTTTAGACGAAGCATTTGGTAAAACCAATGATTGCAATCGAGAATAATTATCAGGCTGAATAATATTTTCGATTTTACTGGGATAATAAGGAAATCGTTCTTCATGGAATTTTGGATACCATCCGTTATCTATTTCCGGATAAATTCCATACAAACGATTACCACCATTTATCGAATGAAGGTGACAACGACCGCAACACATACGTGAACCACAAAATTTGTAGAAAATTTTGTTGAATGAATTAAAAAAAGAGAGAACAGAAGGATCTAAATGTTCGTGTATCACAAGAATTAATTTTGGTAATGATTTGAGAATTAAATTGAAAGAATTATTTAATTGAGAAAATGAGAAATAAATTTGATCAGCTGTAAAATAAATAAATATTTCCATTAACATTTCCACAGGTAAATTCTCTAATTTAGTAATTCTTGGAGAATTCATTTGTCTTCTTCTGTTTTTAAACAGATTGTTTTGCCTTTTTATATGATTCACAAACATTATATAGTGTCTTTATTCTACCTAAGTTCACCAATCCGATCAAAGCGCTGACTATACATTCACTTTGTTAAACTTTTGTGCATTGTAGACAAAACATAAAATTTCGATTCTGCCTAGTCCAAAATTAAACAGAATATGATGATCTTTCTCTCCTGAAAATAATCGATTTTTTTCTGTTGAGGGTGGATGTGGGTTGAACTGAGAGTATAGATAATTGATGATATAAACTTGTTTTAAGAATAAATCGTTTTGTTCTTTCTATTTAAAAAAATGAAATATTATATTACATAAAAAAAATTTTCTAATAAAATATAAAACTAACATAAAAGATTAAAAAAAATCATGCACAGCAATACAAGAAAAATAACTTAAATTTTAAATTTTCAAACAAAAATTTCTAAAGTACGATTCTCAGAACGTGATTGTTTAATTTTTTGTTAAAATAATTTTCGATCAGAAACAGATATACAATGATGAATTTCTAATACTCGTAATCTTCGATTAACATAGGACATATCGAGGATTTGACGAAGATTAAGAAGTGAAATCTCAATTTCTTTCAAATATAAATGAGATATTATCCTGTTCTTACGAAAATCTTTAACTGATGTTGTCATATCAATCTCTTCTATTCGTCCAACAAATCGTAGATGAGTTACTGTTGGATTTGATTCTATACTTAAAGCAATGTGAGTTATGCTTACATCAGGACTAACAGTAATTTGGAATTGTTTTAGTGTAAAATTGAATGTGATTTCTTGTATTTGTTTGTAAAGTGGATTTGAGGAAGTGTGAGAGAAAGGTTCAACAAGCATTGCTCTTCTATCTTCTCTCTCATTGGAAATCTGTGGTGGAGGATTACTGCTTTCTTCCTGAGATGAATGATAATATTTAGGACTAATACAGCTAAGAAACGACAGATACTTTTTGAATTTTCTGCGTAAAGAAGGTTTCCTATTCTGTATACAGGGCAACTCAGATTCAAGTATGCTACTTTCCCTGTTAAAAATTCGTTTTTCTCGATGAAAAACTGCACAACTAGTTTCACTTTGAAGTTCAAGAGTTTTTAATAACGGTAGTTGATTAATAGTCTCTGTTAATTGTTTAAGTAATGTTTCACAATTGATATTCGCCAAGTCTAATCATAGATGATGAACTGGTATGATTTGAAGAAACTTCTTAATAATTATAACATCACTATTTTTATTGGTACACCAATTAGCAATTCCAGTTAACATTGAATCACTGTTTTCTAATGATAAGTAGAAGACGTGAGAAAAAATTTTTCCAAAGTGTTTTTTGCTTCCAGCATTTGAAAAATTTCTACGCAAACATTCGCTGGTTTTATGTAATATTTTCAAGCTTTCATTTTTACACAGAGAAAAGAGCCATTCCCGAGTTTCGTTTAATGTTGAAGGGCAGTCCATAATCATTTCTTCTAGATTTTGACTATCAACAACCAATTGTCGGATAGTAGTATTCCAGTGAAGATGTTACTTCGGCTAGTCGAATTTTGAATATCAATCGTGAATTTGTTTCTTTGATAGCATTAAATAATTTTGATTGAAATTTTTCCAATAGTCTTGTAAATGTATATTAAATGATAAGTTTTCCATCGCTTTTTACTGCATCATTGAGCTGTGAAATTATGTCTCGTGTTGATATATCTCTTAGATAATTTATTACGAAACTGTTTTCCAGTTCAAGCTTATCAATCTTATTTTTCATTAAGATGACTTGGAGAAATTCTGAAAATAAATCTTTAATCAATTTTGAGTTTTTCGTACTTATTGTACTGAATATTAATCCTTGATTAACGTATTTGTGTGTAGTTTCTGTACCAAAGCAACATCGCCGTTTATTTTTCCATCTAATTGTTGAATATTAGCATTTGAACATGGTCTATTGCGATGTTTAACACACCCATCGAACATGACCATCAGAGGTAATAGAACGGTATAAATTTCCTAACGTATCATGATTATCCACTTTTTCCAGATACCTTCGAATTTGTCGTAGTTCAGCACCGTCTACTTCTTGAATTGTGGGTTTTGTTGAAATATTCAGACTTTCCTGAGCTTTTGTCAAAATCCCATCTGCTTGCTCTACTTTATCAATAATAGTATTAGAAAATCCTTTTTTTGTAGAACGGTAAAATTAGATAATCCCATATTGATTGATGACAGCTGTGGAAGAACGATGCTACCGACGCATGCCATACCTTTAATTGCTATTAATATGTGGCGAAGATAAGGTCCATATTTATGAAAGAATTTATGTGGTTTGCTTATTTTATATCCGTCATGCAGAGCAAAATGACGTTCATTCTTGTTTTCACAGTCACCTAGAAAATGCAAACGATATGTATGACGAAACCACTTTGAAGGATTGTAAGAAGGTGTTTCTTCTGGTAGTACGATGAATAGATGGGGTATGTTGTATTCTGCTAGCTAAAATATTAGACGTTTAGTAGCATCAATTTGCAGGCGTCGATGTATGACAATCAATAACATCTTGAGCAGAAGCTAGAATTCGTTGTGGATAAATAACACTATTATCGTTGTTTTTCACGAATGGTATTGGTTCTTGTCTATACATTGAATAAGTATGTCCACAATTTTACCTTCATATCGACACTTTTGAAATGTCATTTGTTAAAAAATAGATGATAAGTATGAATAAGAAAGAAAGAGATTAAGAAACTATGGTAATAGTTTAATGAATAAATAAATCTCTTTTCGCCAATGTTTATATACCATTCGAAATCAAGCCTTTTTTCCGATGAGTCATCAAATGCTCATAAAGCACGTCTTCTGCCAAGCTCTCATCCACAAATCGAAAGTCATGAATTTATTCTTTTTGAAATGAGTAATCCAACAAAACTGTGCCTGGTAACTTTACGCATTATAGTTGCAGACGAAGTTATTGTTTTTCAATTGGTAGTCAACGACAGAATTTGGTGACAATCAAAAATAATTCATTTTCAATGATAGAAGATCAGACACGAAAAGTGTTACAGCTTATTATATGATATTTTGAACTTGAGGAGTGTGCGTATGCTTGTAGATGTGAATGAAAGTTCTTTTGTAGTTTTTCGTCCACACTCTCACTCACACCCATACCTTCCACTGAAACTATTCGCATCGTTCTGAAGCAATTTTTTACCTGTTAGTAGAAATCTCAGAGCTTTGAAGAGGGATGGGTGGGTGTGGATATATCTACTTCATCTTCACTCACACCAACGCCCATCCACACCTACCCGCGTTTAAGTTGATATATATATATATATATATATATATATATATATATATATAATTTTTTTTGTATGACATAATTCTATTTGAATCTTGAAATAAGAATTACTTTTCTATTTTGCAATTGTACGTGTCAGTCACATATAAATCAAGTAATTTGAAGATTTCTGATATAAATATTTATTTTTAAATTAAGAATGAAAGCAAAGTTTGGGAAAAAGTGGAATGGCTGATAGTATGAATGCGAGTGTGGATGAGTGTGAGTTTTTGTGGGTTGTGTATATGTTTATAGTGATATAGTGAATTGATATATTCTGAAGCATGCTGTTACAAGTCGTAACATGTCTTTACAAAGCAATAGATACCGATCACCAGCCACATATTAGATATCATATAGAAAGCATCCGATGTCATCTGCTGTACTGGTTGCGTATTTGTGGAGCAAATAATTGGATAGCTGGCTGCCGTCGCGATACCACATTGATTATTTTGATTTCGTGTCATTTTCATATAACCTTGGTCACCCCAATCTGTACTCCAACTGAGACCATGATAGAAATAGTAAATTTATCAATAAACTATTTGAAACATAATAATTACCTGTTTTTTACCAGCCAATAGTCATGGTTTCCGTCTGTGCCATAACCAATAAGCAGAACAGCATGATCAAGTTCAAATATGCGTTGTAAGCAAGTTGGTTCATTGTAGACTATTAAAAAAATCGTATAAAATGATAGTTGTAGATGACAGAAGAATATTACATACCACCGGATTGATAGAACTGAAATGAGGAACGACCAGCATCAATCGCAACTGATATTGGTCCAATAGTAGCAACGGCTTGTTGGAGAGCTACTTCGTCTCCTGATGCTATATCAACGAAATCACAGATTTGGACAGTAGTCTCTGTTGGATTGAACACACATGTCTGGTCAACCGCTGTATATGGATATGAACTTTCTGTCTCGATGCCGCTTGCAGTGATGACATATACAAAGGCATGATCCATCGTACCACCGCCACAACCATAATTTCTTTGTCCACCAGAACAATCAACTAATTGTTGTTCGGAAAGAGAAACAAGCGTGCTAGTTTTAATAGCATATGCACTTTCAATTGAGCCAACTGCTGAGAAAGCCCAACATGCTCCGCACCCACCTTGATCTTTGACTGCTTCAACAACATTCTGGTTACGCCAGTCTTGTAAGAAAACAGTCAAATACTTTCATAAGTCATAGTTTTAGTTCATTGTAATACATACCAACGGAGTCTGGCAAACTAACAGTCGAATTGGATACAAATACTTGACGAATTTGATTGTATTTGGTTTCCATGTTTCCTATCAAACCAGTATATTTTTGTACAAATTCACTGACGGTCTATTTATGAATTAAATTATAGATAAACTATACTTGAAGATTACAATACAAAAGCTTACTAAATCTCCATATTGATTCATTCCAAGCCAATACGTATAAATACCGAGGTCAGCTTGAAGATTGTGTTCTTCGATCATCTCCGTATTATTTTCCCACACAGCACGACTACAATTTCCGAGTTTAATAATCAATTAGAAATAGAAATAAAGAACAATATATTATACCGAACAGATTCTTCAGCAGTAGAATAGTTTTTCTTGTGTGTATCTTTCCATAAACTCCATTGCTGATCACGTGTTTTGTTATACGTCAATGCACAACCAGAACTGAGTACAACAATTGTAATAATCAAAATTAATTGCATCTAAATATTTTGATTTATAAATGAAGACATCCGTCTTAGAAAACTGAATAGATGCACAAATATTAAACCATTTAAATAACTTCTCCCAACTACTAGACTGCAAGTGTCCAATCTTTTTGAAGGTGTGTGAGTGGGAATAGAAAGAATGCATATCCACACCCTCAAGATGTTCCTCTACTCCGAACTGAAAAATAATTTTCTATGACTAAAAACGACTGAGAAAAATGCATAATAATGAAGGATGTTGAAATATCTGTTCTTATTAGAGGCATGCGCTGTATAATTGACATACCTATCGAAAATTAAGCTCGATTATCTTGAGTGAATAGTGCGTCGAAAATAATTTTGAATGGTTTTTCTGCATCTTTTTCTGTTTATAAATACTGCTCCAGTTGAAAATTTTTCTCCACCTTCGCAGTGGCTGTGATTATTCATACTTCCTTTTTATTTCACTAAAATGGAAAAATCTTTCATCACCTGACATCATAGATGTTGTTTGTTGTTTGATTCATATGCATAACAAGAATAAGGTCTATGCAAAAATATAAGTAACGCTCGTCCGAGGACTTGTGCAGCGTATGGGTGAGGATGATGGTGAGGCTGTGGATGTCGGTGTGGGTGAGGGTGAGTATTCTTTTAGCTCCTACTCTCACCGACAACCCTCACCCACATCCACATCTACACCCACTCACACCCATCCTCAAGATAGACAAGTTTACAAAGTTCTGAATTGTGTTGGGTAAGAACCATGCATTCGCTCGTTTCTTGACGACATACTTACTTTCGAACAAGAAAAATTCATTCGCCTGTCAGTATTTGTTTAATTGTCATGCATTAAAATTCGTGTGAATCATTTTTCTCTTCTTTGCAATAACATTACTTGTTTGTTATTTGCCTTGAGTGTCTTCTTTTGGGGTTATACACATTCTTTCACAGTAAAATACGTCATTGGAAAAAAAAGTTCCAACTGTTGTTATTTTATAAAACAAAAGAAACGACTTATTCAGCGGCAAGAACATATAAACAGGGTGTGGGTGTGGGTGTGGGTGTGGGTGACGAAGATGTATTCACACCCTCAATTCTTTGATATTTTATTGTCTTCATCAACTAGTATTTTTCTAATTAAACTATATTACAATAAAATAAAATTAGATTCTTTGTTTTTATATGTCAATATTTGCAACATCGACTACTCTTTGATGGCGCCATCGATTATAATGAACTTTAAATAAAACATAAATCAATTGTTGACGAAAACGTTTAGATGCACAAAAGTAGATATAGAATGGACTCTAAATATATAATTAAATATCGATTAAATCAATATAAATAATTATACATACTACAAAATGAATGTAATAAAATATTCCAGTTAAATTTCGAAAAAAACTTATCAAAGCTACAGTAAATGGATCACTTGAATTTCCAATTAAATAATTGACAAGATTAAGAATACATGTTGGTGTTACAAAAATAACTTCACTCAATGCTTCAGCAAGAATCATTGTTGTTAATTGTTTATCAAGTTCACGTCGAACTAAAGGAATTGTTCGATGAGAAATATGTTGAAGATTTCTATATGCTAAAAAACCAAATAGAAGAATAATAAAAACAGGTAAAGAAGTAATTAAAACAGGAAAATGAAAAACATTGAAATATGTTTGAAAAATAACATTAGTGAAGCCACATATAGAATTGCCTGTTGTTGATGAAATATTCAAATCATAATATAATAAAAATGGAATTCCATGTAATAAACAAAATAGAATTGCACCTAATATTAATCGTTTAGCTATCTTAATTCGATTCCATTGATGCCATCGTTGATTCGAACAAGTCGCAAAAAATTGATCAATTGTTGCTAAACAAATACATGTAAATGACATAATATTACCAAATTGAAGATAAAATGGTCGAAATTTACAAAAACTACGAGACATATTCAACCAATTAATACCAAAACCAGTTGTCATTATAAAAGTTAATAAAGCAATAAATAAATTTAAAATATTCACGATTGACATGATAATTAAATAAAAAGCACATGAATTTTCTCGGAATGTACGAAGACTTAATAAAGTAATTAGCATTAATGGTCCTCCAACAACACCAGTAATGAAAAGAAAAATACCTCCACAAATCACTATTTGTTGACCAGCAATACTGAGCGTTGCAATAGTTGAACTTGACATCTAGCTTAGATTTTTTAAAATGAAATCATCATATAAAAACAGAATTAGTTTTTAAATCTATCTCTTTCAGATTTTTCTGCTTTCGAAGTTTTTGAACGTCATAAACAGAATCTTCTTTTCATATCTTTATGAAAAAAAAGTACTGTTTGAACGTATAAAAATAATTTTCATTTATATTTTGTTATGTCTTTGACAGCATCAACGAATAGAAATGAAAAAAAGAGATATTTATTCTTATGATATAACATCAAAAACATACTTTCTGTTTTTGCTACTTTCAATAATAACAGTTCTAATCTTTTCTTCTATCTTGAACGTCCATCGTTCGAAACTATATATAGTTTTTTCATAGTAAGTTAACAACAAAATTCTATGATTATTATGTAGAAATCACAGTCTTACTAATTAAAATAATCATAACAATATGAACTTGGTCATAAATTAAACACATTTAATTCATCATTTTCTCCACCTGCTAACGCATCAACTAACGGCATTCAAACGAATGACTATCAAACTCATACGTGTACATCAATTACTGCTAGTAGTTCTGTTAGTAAAATACATCTTGAGGGTATGGGTGAGGAAAGATGATTGATTGTTGTCTGCATTCTTATTCTTAAGATTTTTTTATGAAATAAAGTATTAGTTAGAGTACCTGCTTTTAATAAACTTTTAGAATATAATATGAAAACGAGTATTCTTTTATATTTCTTTTTCATGATATTTTAATCTTATTAAAAAAAACTTAGTTAAGCTTTTATCACGTAGATAATATTCATAAGAAAATCTACCTCCTTTTCTTTATATATATATATATGATGGATGAAATGTCTACATTCTACAGAAAAAAGTACGTCAAATAACCATTCATTGTATTTAATAAGGAGAGTAAGTATAAGAGAAAATGTTTTTTCAGTTACAGTTCAGTCGTTCTTAATTTTAAACTCTTATCATACTGAACTGATAATGTTATTTCTTCGAGTTTTACTCTATTTTATGTTCTTATTTTTGCCTGCTGTTATTCCAATTCAAATAAATCTTCATCTGACAAAATGGATAAATGAAAATGATGATATATTACAACATGATTGTCTTCATGTTGCTGTATCGAATGAATTTGAAAATGATCCTTATCAGATGATTTTATATTGTATGAGTGAATGACCATCGAAATGGAATGTACAAACAAATAATTTTGATAAAAATTTTACTTTTGCTGATCTTTCTATCCTTAATGTTACTAGTCAACAATTATATATGTGGTCAGCACCGATGGATATTGTTGAAGATTATCAATTCTATTTGGATCAATTACAAAATTCCAATGAAACATCTTTATCAATGCAGATGTACTATAATTGTACATTACCAAGATTTGGTCCCATGTGTCAATATTCATTAGATATGCATCAACCTAATCATGAATCATTGAATGAAATCCTCGCTGATTATTATAATTCCGACTCATATGATCAGTTTCTACCAACATGTTACACTTATTTACAATGTAATCCTGATATATCTTCATTATGTTTTGATTGGAGTGATATTTGTAATAATATTATTCAATGTATTAATGGAATGGATGAAGAACATTGTTCGCAGATGGAAGTCAATGAATGTAAAGACGATGAATATAGATGTATAAATGGTCAATGCGTACCTGCTATATTTTACAATGATGATATTTATGCTCCAGATTGTCTGGATAGATCCGACGAATATATTATCACTACAAATGAGTTTCTCAAAATCTCGATAGAACCAAAATTTGCAAACGATGATCTTCTCTGTTGGGAACCTGATTGGTCCAATATTTTAAGATATACAACTTCGTGTTTGATTAGAGACTACGTTAAATATTGGCATGAGTTGATGTTTTCATATACACCAAACTCAATGACTGATATCTGCTGGTCAACATTGAAATGTTATCTTAGAATTCCAAACGCTTTTGATCTCGAGTGCTTTGACGTATGTCAAAATGATGAATGTCGAGATATAATTGAAGAAAACTGTCCAAACATGTTTTTCATGCCACCTACTCCAGTCTTATACGGTCATATTTATCTGGCTTACACAAAAAAATACATTGTCGAACAGAAAATATGGACAAATGAACCTGAATATATATGCTATGATCCACAACTTTGTGGTGGTTTCTACCCAAGTGGAACACCGTTACCTTTCAACAATACTATTTGTTATCACCCGAAAGATTTTTCATTAAGTTCTGGTTCTTTAATAAATGATTTGATTACCAACGCCTATTACGTCTCTGTACATGTCGAATTATATAAATGTAATACAATTTTTCGAAATGATTCAACATTTTGTAATAAATCAACTATGTACAAATGTATTAATTCATCGAAATGCATATCGAACTATCGTCTTTTAGATGGTATAAATGATTGTGATTATGGAGATGATGAACAATGGACAACATTCAATGATCTTTCTTCTATAATGAAATCGCAAACGCATTTCTACTGTGCCGCATCAAAAAAGTATATTTCTCGAAAGTTGATTGGAGATGATCTTTGTCAATGCTATGTTGAATTCTACGAGATATGCGAAGATGAATTATTATTTATCAAGCATGTTAGAGAACATATATCATTTCCATCCATTTGTAATGGTATTATTGATTTGATACCTTTGAATGTAAGTGGACGAAACGAAACAGATGAAACAGAATGTGAACAATGGTCTTGTAATAATAGTTATACTCGTTGCAATGGATTATGGAATTGTTTTGATGGAGCTGATGAAGTTGATTGTTATCCAACATCATTAATAAACTGTCCACCACACGATCATGTATGTTTTTCACCTGAAACAATGGAATTAATGTGTCTCGCTAAAGATAAAGGAAATAATGGTTATATCGATTGTTTTGGCGCTACTGATGAACCACAATTATGTAGAGGACATATCTATTCAATCGACGAAGTTGGATTTTATTGTGTATCCAATGCCGAAGAACCTTGTACTTCTCGTCATGGTATTTGTGATGGAGGAGTACACTGCAACGAAAAGTCTAATGAGACGTTTTGTAATCACGTCGGATCCTTTGATTTTTCTCGTTTCAATGAAATCTGTAATGAAAAGAATACACCGAATCTATCTGATATGGAACAACTTTTATGTAATCTTTTTATATCTCAAGTTGTACCAAAAATTACGCACTTCTCTCTAAATGAAAAGACGAAATCAAGTAACTTAGTAACAAAAGACAATGTCAACACGGTATCTATCTCTCAAATGGATCTTGAATCATCGGTACACTGTCATCGAGGTCTCGATTTACGAGTTTGGTCAGACATTAATGAAAATTTAACCAATCTTACATGTCTTTGTCCACCAAGCTATTATGGTGATACGTGTCAGTATCAAAATCAACGTGTTAGTCTTACAATAAAATTTCAAGCATTTTTTGATTCTTGGCGAATACCATTTACTATTATTATCTCACTTATTGATAATAGTGATCAACGAATTATTCATTCTTATGAACAAATAACTTATATTCCAATGAAAAATTGTCAAACAAAATTTAATATGTATTTACTTTATTCAACTCGACCAAAAAATCAATCAGAACAATATTCAATTCATATTGATGTTTATGAAAAATTATCATTAGCTTATCGAGGAAGTTTATTAGTACCAATACCTTTTAACTTTTTACCTATTCAACGTATCGCTGTTTTACTAAATATTCCATATATAACTAATAATCCTAAAGGTTGTTCAAATACAAAATGTATTCATGGTGAATGTATTGAATATTTCAATGATCCAAATAATACAACATTTTGTCAATGTTATCGTGGATGGACTGGTCGATATTGTACAATTCCACATCAATGTAAATGTACATCTGATTCATTATGTATTGGTGTTTCATCAAATAATCGTTCTATTTGTATATGTCCAATAAATAGATGGGGTTCTCGATGTTTACTTCATGATGATATATGTCAACAAGAGAATATTACATGTCAAAATGGTGGTCAATGCATATCTCTGAGATCAACGAAAAATTTCGAATGTATTTGTCCAAAAGAATTCTTTGGAGAAAAATGTGAAATCCCATCAAATAAAATAAGTTTATCATTTGATAAGGATTTAGTGTTACCTGAAACAATGCTAATTCATTTTATTGAAGTAAAACAAAATAATGCTCCACCTGAAATAGGAGTTACATTTAAAAAGATTTCCATTAATCGAAAACCAGTGATTATATTTTGGCCACGTATATTTCATATTGTTTTTGTTGAATTATTTCCTAAGAATTATTATTTAACTTTTCTTGAAAGTAATTATAATCAATCAACAATAATTGAAAAACAACTAAAATCATCTGATCGTTGTCCATATATTGGTGAAATATTCAGTGAAACATTTACTACACTTCATCTTATTCGTCGTATTAAATATTTTCATGTCCCATGCAGCAATTTACAATTATCATGTTTTTATGATGATGCTTATTTATGTTTATGTATGAATTTTGGTAATCAACGTATGGCTAATTGTATTGAATTTAATCATACATTAAAACATGCTTGTTCACAAAAAAATATTTGTAAAAATGATGGTCAATGTCTGCAAGATAGTACTAATTGTCCACAAACAGTTATGTGTGTTTGTCCAACTTGTTTCTACGGATCGCAATGTCAATTCTCTTCAAATGGATATGGTCTTTCACTTGATGCTATTTTAGGTAATCATATTCAACAATATGTTAATATTAACGATCAAACAATTACCGTTCAAATAAGTCTAATATTAACAATTCTTATGACTTTCACAGGTCTAATGGATGGAATTTGTTCGTTAATTACATTTAAACATAAAGATATAAGAAAAACTGGTTGTGGAATTTATCTTTTAAGTTCAACAATTACAACATTATTTACTATGATATTATTTTTTATCAAATTTCATATATTATTGATTTCACAAATGATATTTCTAACAAATCATTCATTTTTACAATTTCAATGTGTTACTATTGATTATCTCTTACGAATTGGTCTTAATATGGATCAATGGTTAAATGCTTGTGTAGCATATGAAAGAACTATTATTGTAATCAAAGAACACAATTTTGATAAGAAAAAAAGTATAAAAAGAGCTAAATTTATTATTATGATTCTTCTTATATTGCTTGTTAGTACAAATAGTATAGATCCAATTCATCGAAGTCTAATTCATACAGATGTTAATGATGAAAAACGAATCTGGTGTATTATTACTTATTCATCAATTGCTGAAAAATTCAATATTATATTGAATAGTTTTCATTGTTGTGTTCCATTTATAATAAATATTATTTCAACAATTGTTATAATATTAAAAACAGCTCGTCGTCGATCAACTCTACACAAGGATCTACCTTATAAACAACACATTATTGAACAATTGAAACAATTTAAACGTTTATTTATTTCTTCATTTCTTTTATTTATTCTTGCTTTACCACGTTTAATCATTATGTTTGCTGCAGGTTGTATGAAGACAAATGCTGATTCTTGGTTATTTCTTATCGGATATTTTCTCTCATTTGTTCCACCTATGCTTACTTTTACTATATTTGTGTTACCATCCGTAGAATACAAACAAAAATTTCGCACCACAATTACCGCTTATCGGCATACAATTCGAACACGTTTACAACTCATTATTTAGGGTGAGTGTGGGCGTTAATGAGAGGGTAAGCGGACATTAATATGGATATGGAGTAGGTGTAGATATAAATTTTTGATAACACCCACACCCACACCCTCAAGATAGTTGACGGAATTGAACGGAATCGATTCCGGTGCGGAGCTAGTTCCTGGAATGTTCAACATTGCGGAATAAGATGACTATTCTATCTAACCAATTCAGTTTACACGCATAGTTACAATATTTGTTTGTGAATACATATGACCATATTGATGTGAATTATCCGAGAATACTTTACATTATTAATAAATAAAAGAATGACATAACTAAAAGTATAATATCTTTTCAAAAACTATCTATTTAATGAAAAAAATGTATGCGAATTATTTCGAAATATTAATATAAAGAATCAGTCATGTTATATATTCAACTTGATATTTCTAGTAATGTTTATCTCTTCAAGATTTAATTTTTAATATAAAGATCATATTCCATAGATCGCATAAATTCACTACGAGTGCTGTAATCAATTTTAACGTTAAATTGAGTAAAAAAAGATGATCCTTGAAAACGTTGAATTTTGGGACGACCATTATTTCTGTGGTCTCGAACCCACCAATTAAGACGAAGAAAAATTCGTTTTAAATAATAATGTGATGCTAAGATATATTCCCACCAATTTGGATCAAGTATTTTATCAGGATTAATAGAACAATCATGAAAACGAATATTAAAATTGAATGTACGTAGATTAGGACAAATTGGTAAGAATAATTCAAGAAATCTACTTGAAGATTCTTTTTCCTGAAAATTATCTTCTCCTAAACCAAGTTTTGTCAATTTTGGAAGACCCGAAAGAATTCGTTCAGGTATTCCATTAGATAATGCTGTTACATTATCGTCCGATGGATAATCGTAAAATATTGCGAAAAATGAACGTAAATGAATACATTGATCCAATAATTGCATACCCATATAAAAAGGAAGTTTATTCACATGAATATGAACAAGAGATGGAAAATAGAATGTACATATATGTTCATAAATTGGTAATGGTTTATCAAACGTATGTCCTGGTAAATGTAAATATTGAAGAAAAGGACAATGTTTATGAAAAATAATCGTTATAAGTTGATTTGTATATCTACCATAATCATCAGAATTAGCATCAATAATTAATGAAATCACAGATGGAAATGAACGAAAATATTTTGCAATATCTAATGGTTCATTATATGGATAATCATATATTAATTGAAAATGTTGAATATATTTAAACTTTTCTATTGGAAATTCCTATTAAAGTTTAGAAGAATATATTTCAAAACAAAAGAATTCATTCGAAAATAAAATTTTACTGTAAAACATAAGTAAAGTGTATTCAGGTAATTGATTAAATAAGATGAATATATTGAAAGAGTTCGAATATTCATAAGCAATTGATTAATTCGTTTATTGATACCATGAAATGCTGAATAAAGATTAATCCAATCAAGATAATCAAACATTTCAAGCCAAAGTTCATTCGCTCGATCTTCAATGCATGATAGATTTCGATTCGGCATTTGTTTTGCTTTATTCACTTCGCTAATGAATTGATTTTTTTTTATTACACTCACCCTGTTGGAAGAAAAGAAACTCTAAATGTTGTTAACTGCAGTCTGCAATCACTCTTGAAATAATATTTGCAATGGCAACACATGCGTATGCATGGAGAAAAGCAGAAAAAAACGAAACATTTGCGTCACTTGTTTTGCGCAAGAATTGAAACTCACCCTCATCTGTTGCAATTCGCTCTGGAGGGTGTGGATGCGGTATTAAAAGAACATTCTTACTCTCACCCCACCCTTAGGATGGTTTTCTTTATTTATACACTATTTACCAATTTCTGGATTTCGACGATCACTAATTTTCTCTAAATCTTCTATACATGTCAATTGAAGAAACATTTGTTGTGCATGCTTTGAAAAATAGAGAAATATTGCAGTAACATTACCTTAGAAGAAACAAAAGAAAAATAAATGATAGGGAAAAAAACCATAATACAACTATTCGTACAAATGATGGTGCATTGAATCCTACAACTATTCATACAAATGATGGTGAAATATTTATTGGAGATTTTAACCTACACAGTTATGTTTATTCAAAGACTTATGGCGCGATTCAAAAGTGTGTCGCGAACATACCTTGTTCAATTTGTAAGAAAATAATTAGAAAAGATAAATTTATCGTATTGTACGTAAAGGATGATCGATTAGAAGTAAGTCTTTTTTTGTCTTTATTTCTAAGATAAATGGTTTTTTTAGAAAGGCCATCCATATTGTTCATTTATAATAAATGCAAGCAATAAATATCATTGAATTGGAAAATTTTCACAATCATCAACAAAGGACATAAAATGCTTGTTATACAAATTTGTCAAAATTGCGAAGTATATGAAAAAAGATTTTTAGTTTTTAAAATTTTATAATTTTATAATTTAGGTGATCATAGAAATGAATAAACTGGTTATTCATTTATTTTTATTTTTATTTTGATTGAAAAAAAGTCTACATTATACTAAGGTTGAATAAGGTTTATTTTACATTTGTCAAACATTAAGATTATAGGGTGGGTGTGGGTGTGGATAGTTAAACAGTATAATACCCACACCCACACCCACACCCACACCCACACCCACACCCTGACACACCCACACCCACACCCACACCCTAACCGCCCACACCCACACCCTGACACCCTCATACCCTCACACCCTCACACCCACACCCTAACCGCTCACACCCACACCCTCGATATCGAAGTGCCTCTTCAGGCATAGAGCCATCGTAGGTCTTAGCAATATCTTCCCGAAGGGATGGGATAGAATTTTTGAAAGAGGCCGACAACCATTTTTCTGTTATTTCCAGTGAGTCGAAATAATATTGGCGCGCTTGCTCGTGCTTACCCATTTCGAAATAAATTTTTCCAACGTCACGAAGGCTATATGCTATATTGTGATGATTCGGTAGTAAATATTTCTGTCGAAGGTCTAAGGCTTTCTTATGATAGTGCAATGCCTGCTCATAATCACGTTGACGTCGGTAAATATTGCCAATATCTGCATAACTGAACGTGAGAACAAGATGATTCGCTGACATACATTCTTCTCTCATTTGTAATGCGTCCTGTTGATACTGAAGTGCTTCTTTGTATTTTCGCTGTTGGAAATAAATGCGTCCGATGCTACTTAAGAATTGTGCAATGCCAGTATTCGGAGGATTTGTCTCCTTTTTCAGCATTGTGATCGCGCGTTCGTAGAATCCGAGTGCTTCATTAAGTTGTCTTCTTTTCGCACAAAGTAAACCTTTGTTATGGAAAATATAAGCGGCATACTTTCGTTGAGATGCATCAGAAAGATCGGTTTTTTTCAGTGCTTGCTCAAAATGCTCCAATGCACGGTCATATTGATGCTCATCTTTATAGGTAATACCAAGACGATTGTGAATATGAACCAGATTCTCTCCATTCGGATGGAGGAGAAGTCTTTCAAGGAGCATACGAGATTGGTCGCATTTTCCCATTCGGTTCAAAATTCTGCATAACATGATCGGCCGACCTTCTGAATTCATTTGTTTCTGATTTTGTTTTCGATATTCCTCAAGAACATCTTGGCCTTCGTTCGTTGTTTTCATTTGTACAACGAAAACCTCTGTCTTATCGATTGTTTCTGAGGTAACGCTCTCGATTCGAAAAACTGCTCCGATGTCAAATAGAACTTCTTTTTCTTCGGGAAAGTTACTACTGCCGCTGATATCAGCAAAAATCACCGAATTTTCTTCATTTCGAAGATTGCATTCAATCTGAAATAAGACGACCATTCGATCGGTATCGTTCTGACAACCATTAATATACATATATGCAACCGATTTTTTTCGACTCGTTGACCAATAAGTATTTGCAGCAATTAATTGACCTTTATTTGCCTGAAGTTGTTCAGCTTCGTTCCGCGTCATAATCGTTCCGCGATATAGTACAATTATGTTTTCGTTCCCTAGTTTAAACTTTTTATATTCATCTCTAAGTTGTTTAGAGAGATCAGCAATATAATATCGAAATGTGTATAGTTGTTCAATATTTTCTGTTCGTAAAGCTGTATTAATCAATCGACAGATAAATCCATCTTTGGTGTACCAATAGATACAGGCACCTTGGTGATAATGTTCCTGAAATTCATCGATTTGTTTGAGATATTTTTGATTGTCTCGATAATACTGACGACAGACGTTGATCATTTCTTCTTTTGCCTCTTCATCTTCATGTAGATGGAGCATAATATCCTTGAATAATTGAAGCCTAGAAGAAAAACGGGATTATACAGGGAATATATATGTTTAATCAAACAAGATTACCAAAGGAATTTCGCGTGTTCAGTTGATATATCTTGTGTGGCTCGTTGATGTTGATCATAGAAAGAAAAGATTTTGATGTGTTCCTCAACATCCATAATATTTTCTTTTACTGAGGTGACAAGGTCATTGCAGCGACTGAATACGTTTACGATTTTATCAAATTGATTCAAGAAATTTGGGTCGTGAGTGCCATTGTTCGAAAAGAGAAATACCGAATCTAATTGGCGAATCTGATGAGTCCTTGGGATGAGTTCCACTGCATCGTCGTTGGAGGTAATGATAAAAAACTTTGCTCGAAAATCGATCTGTTGCAAATCGGTAACAATTCTTTCAATATTGTCATAATCAAATATCCAGTTGTGGATAGCTTGTATTTGGTCTTTCGCTTGTTTAAATTCAGCATCGATAATCGAAGAAGACTGAAACCATATGAGAGCTACTCTTTCTTTATTTCTTTTGATTGACTCACGAAAATCATTAGATAATCCTTCGGCCATGACTAAACTTGTACAATAAATACCTAACTCAAGTTGAATACACGATTCAATCTAAAATGATTCTTTAAACTATTGGAACACAAGGAGAGTTTATCCTGTAAACACTGAGGGAGAACGGAGGTCTACTAGCAGGAAAGTGAATTAATATTAATGAACACAAAGTATATTTCGTACGAATTAATTAGTAGTAGTTGATGATTTTTGGTAAGTAAGCGGAAACGAGATATGGAATATCAATCTTATATTCTTAAACTTCAATATCCTATTTTAATCGAATGTCACAAAAACTACAGAACGATGATAGTTACTTTCCCATTGTAACTGCGTATACAAGAGATTACTCTTTGAGAAGCTCGGAGAACTACTAATCGTAAGGTCGTAGGAAATGATCCAAAATGGGCGTCAGACAAACTGGAGTCTATTAGTCTATATTTTACCTATCTTTTATATATGAATAATTTCAAGTACAAAGACAGATACCGAGCTTGTATCTGATATTGATTGTTTAGGTGTTCTTTTTCTGGACCAGTTTTTTCAGTTGCTGCTTAATTAAAACTAACTAACTAACCAATTAATTATTTAATCGATTAATCAATTGATTAATGAGAAACTAATTACAAATAGTTTTCAACCAAACGACAGAAAAATTCAAGATTTTCAGGTGGACTTCATCATTCCTGGCAGTAATGAAATAGCATTAATAAACAACTTCTGAATGCTCCGTTTAGTTTCCCGGATATATTTTGGGATGATTCTCACAACTTTTTAGAGGCTATACAGAGGTTTTCACTATACTTCTAATGACATATCTGTAAATGATCCGTATAACATTGTGAGGCCTTTTTAAGGTTGAAGCCTAGATTTAGTACAGTCTTATATTTTAGTCTTAATTAAATCGAATAGTATAAGAGAATTGTCTCGAATATCATACAACTTCTTGCATACTTTCATCTGTGTTTTATCCGTTGCAGAGAAATGGATCATAGCTGATAGCATTAGTACAGTAAAGCCCCTATTATATTTTCTATTAAACTAGTGCTTGATTTTGCTAAATAAATATCATGTAGGAGAGGTTTCAAAGAATAAATCTTTAGCTGATGGCATACATAATCAAGATTTAATGAATGAGAAAAAGTAACGTGTGCAAGAGAAAGGTGCAAGAATACTATTCGATTATCTAACTTTTTGACTTTTCTATTGATTATATTTGCAAAGTTTTAGTGTGATTTTTAGAATTTGAAACTAATATCATAGTCTAAAAAGTTTTATTTATGATTATTTATTATGATTATAAAATAATTCCTTTCACCGTTACTTAACGAGGTGTAGTCAAAAGATTATTATCTTCACACTCTTTCTTGCGCTAAATCCTAAACTCCGTAAGGTACTTAATGTGGTGAGGTAGATTACTTCTTTTATACTGATGGTAAAATATGTGAAGATAACACTATTTTGCTCACCGTCATTATCACGACTAGTTCAAAAACTCTACTGAATCGCTAAGTAGTCGAATTCATCTTTGATCTTTATATCTATCCACTGAAAGATAAAAAAAATAAACACGACACTTACGATGCTTACTACTGAGTTATGAAATAATTTCCTTCTCTTTGTACGAAAGCGATAATAATTTTTTTCTGAAAAAGAAAATGGAACAATGACAGCAAAAAATATTCTTTCCGCTATTGAGAATGTAAGAACGATGATAGACGAGTTTCTTTTCCGAGAAAGAGTCTGAGGATGGGAATAAATAATTTTTTTTGTTGGAAGGAGAATGCAGAAATAAATACAAAAAATTCTTCCAACTAGCAGAATATAATTATGATGATGGACAAGTTTTTTCCGGGAAAAAAGTGTAACAACACAAACAACAAAAAACAATTTTTTCAGGAGGCAGAATGCATGAATGATGATAGACAAGTGTTTTTTTCCGGGAAAGCCTCTGATGATGAGAATAAATAAATTTCTTTTTGTGAAAGGAGAATTTAATTATGATGATGGACACGTTATTTCTGGGAAAAAAGTGTAACAACACAAACAAAAAACAGTTCTTCCAGGAGGCAGAATGCAGGAACGAGATTAAGTTGTATTCCCAGAAAATGCCTACATGTCTTTCTCATTTCCTGCAATAAAAAACACAACGAATCCTTGAAGGATCTTTGTCAGATTCTCAAGAACATAGAATGGAGGTACAAACGAAGTGTCATGGGTGATACGATTCATTTTTTAAATTAATTAGACTCTTCGCGTCATACACATTTTGACATTGTCTTCAAAAGATGGACAGAAAAAAGTTCAATTTGCTTGATTCATCGTGTTACAATAGCTAGAATGTTCATGCAAATTATTTCAACTTACAAGAAATTAAAGACTCGAAACTGATTGGGTCATTTTTCTATGTCAGGAGAGGCACTTTGTGTTCGCGTATATGTTGGCTTCTTCGTATGATTCTACCATATTCAGGGAGATCTTGAAAAGCTATGCATACTACATTCAGATAGACTTTGAAAAATCACAGGTACTACGTCCAGATAGATTTTGGAAAATTGAGTATTATGTCCAGATAGACCTGTAAAAATTTACAAATAGTATGCCCATGTAGATCTTGTAACATTATCGTGTTGATGGAAGGAAAGCGGAAAGTAGTTGGATGATGGCACAAGAAAAACTGTAACGTGATTAGCTAGTTTTTTTCTATATGAAGTTAGTCACAATTCTTTGGCTGCCATGTTTGGCTCGCTTTCCATGTTCCACGAAAATCTTCAGGATGTGGGTATCAGTATAGGTGGTTTATGAAATGATAGACATCCACACCAACACCCACACCCTAGTTCTTCGACGAAGAAGAAGAATAAATGAAGTATATCTGTCAAGTTTCTCTGTAACAAGAGGCATACAATGAAGAAAAAGAAGTAATAGACGATTTTACCTTTCAACTCACTAATCACTAGTCGGAATGCAATAAAAATAAAGAAAATTGTTTTTCTACTTTCCTCTCTCGTCAATATTAAGACAACTAAAAAAATCCTCTTTTCCGTTCCCCTCACTTTCGTTGCCCCAATTACATACTTTCATCGTTTTTGATAAGCGGTATCAGCTCTCGATAGAAACATAAACTTGTATAATTTGGCTATACAATGTATTTGACAACAATCGACCAACTGAAAAGAACGATTAGGCAGAGAAAAATAAAATGATGTCGTTTTACAGTAAACGTACACAAGATATTAACAAGCGAGTAACAACGAGACATTCGTCTTTCTTTCCTTTTTGTGCGTGTAAAGAGTGCTGCGAGAGTTTCTCGAGGCAGACGCTGAATTGTTTTTCTGTCTCTTGTTTAAATTTATTTTCAAATAATAAGAGCAAGTAGCTAACTACAATCAGAATTTTTTTTTGCATCGTTTTCAATCAAGAGAAACTTAATCTTTGAAAGACATCAAACTGTCTTCGTTTCATTGAACAGTGCACAGAAAAACAAAATGGTTAGTTAAAATCTCCTGATATTAGGAGTTATCGAAACAAGTAAATTTTAATTCTTCTATCAGATTTGATAAATATTGTTTGTCCTAAATTTTGTAATCGATTTTCGAGCGACGATAGCGTTTGTTTGTCCAACGTAGATAGTTTATAGTCATATGGTAGTTTCAACTCGAGCAGCACTAATCGAGACAGATGTTGGAAAAAATAGAAGAAAAAATCTTCATTTATACTGAAACATGTCAACTGGTTGATCGATGAAAACATTTGACAGAATTTCTTCACGTGATCGAAACTTTTGAATGGCATCTCCTTATTCATATAAAAGGTGATTTCCAATTTCTTAATAGTTGTACTCAAATGTTGACATAATTCCGGATTCAAAAATAGTGTTTGAAAACAACTTGACTCGATTTGTAATGATGAGATATGTGGTGCTTCTTGGAAGATTTCAAGTAGTCTCGATGGTTCAATTAGTTTCCTTAAAATGTGCATATGTGTCACCTGAGATAAGTTAATGATCATTTTCAGTGATTCGATATGTTGTCTTTCTATCAGTAAGTTTTCTTTCTCATACGATGGCCTAAGCAGAATAACTGATGTGACATGTGGAAATCGCTCTTGACATGCTTCAGTGAGTGTTTTGGGGGTCACTACTAAATCAGTGACATGATTGTATTTATTCACATGATTGATAGATGGATGTGAGTATTTGCAAATGCACGATTGTAAACCAAAAGTTCTTGAAACGTATGGAATTGTATAAATCTTTGCCGAGTCGTTCCCGATAGAATATTCCGTATACCAATGATGTTCTTCGATCCAAAACTCGTCTTGAAATTCTTCAAAACACATCTGAACTGGCCACACGTGTGTAGCACCACGGTATGAGAAACAGAACTTGAAAGTATGTAAGCAAGGCAAGTACCCATGTAAAAAAAGTTGTGAAAATCATGATTTTTATGAGAAATCCGATGAGAAATCGATTTAAATGGCACGATTTTAATAGCTTGGTAATCAATTAAGTTAAAATAATCAATTAAAATCCATTAAACTATTGTAAAAAATCGATTAAAATCGATTAAATCGAATATAATCGATTAGAATCCAATGACATTTGATTTTTCGTGAAAAAATAATCGATTTTAATCGATTTTTTACAATAGTTTAATGGATTTTAATTGATTATTTTAACTTAATTGATTACCAAGCTATTAAAATCGTGCCATTTAAATCGATTTCTCATCGGATTTCTCATAAAAATCATGATTTTCACAACTTTTTTACATGGGTACGACTTGATCAACTTTTCCCATTGATAAGCACGAATGGGATTGTCGTAATAGAACATGCCTATTTTTAAGATTGTTAAGTTTGGAGTTTGTTGGAATATTTCTCCAAAATCACCACTGTTAGAGTAATAGTATTCGATCGTTAATTGTTCCAGATGCATGGCACCATTTCTGAGTGAAGATTGATCCGAAATCTCTTCGCTTTCAAAGAGGTGCTCATTCCAATCTTCTACTTTGAGATGTCGCAATTGCGATGCTTGTCCTAATATTGGATTTAAGTTCACCAACTTAGCAGAAGGGACTGTTAGATAAGTAATAGACGATAGTTTAGTAATGACTTTTACATCCTGAGGTAACTCCGGTATTGTTAATACTATTAATTCGGTCATCGGTAGGAGAAAAAGAATCTGATCGACTTCTTTATCACAGCCAGTGTAATGAAACGAGGTTAATCGAGATAGAAATGGTAAAACGGATTTGATCAATTCGAGATTGTTTTCCATTATTTCAGTTAAAGTCAACGATCGAAGATTAGTCAAGTAAACCGATGAAAGATGTGAAAGAAATGGTTGAATTTGCCAAGATGTATTTGCATTCGATAAGTGTAATGAATGCATTTGTCTGGAGATATGTTTGTTTGAGAAGATGATCATACAGAATTGATCAAACATCGCTTTATTCATATTTTCGAAATTAAGATGTAGTGGAATACTTCTAATTAGTCGTTCAAAACGATCATTCAATTGTGTGAACGAAGATAGAATATCGAATGAATTCAAATATTCGAAACATTCGATCAACATTTCGTTTGGTAACGATTCTAACTTCATCGTTTTCTGTTTGTTGACGAAAACTTCCATTTTTGATTCAACTAATGTCACAAGTTATCGTTGAACGAGAAGATGATGATGTTTTTATATAATGACAATGGCTCACTGCTTCGATTATTTCCAGTTATGCAATACGCATCCACTATAATATATTTTTCTTTTTCATTTCAACGTCACATGTGATCACATCGTTTCTTTCATCACTGACGTTGCGTCTTTATCTTTTCGTCCGCTTTGGTTGATATTTTCAAACACCGTATGAAAAAAAAAGAAACGAAAAAAACTTGTTCGCAGTCGTTTATTGGTTAAGTCGTAAGAAATAACGATGTTGCTCGACAGAGGACTCCTTCGGACGATGATTCTCGATGTACCTTTCAATTTTTTGCTTCACATCTAAACATGACATAGTAGAATTGTAGAGTTCAAGAATATCGATGAAAAAACGGTAATATTGTACCTCGTAATTAAATGAATTTTCTAAAACGACAGATAAACTATGGAACAGAGGTCTTTTTCGAACAAAGGCATTGCACTGAAGAATACTAAGAAACAACTTGGAAGGGATCAAACATAATATGCGCATTTTTAAATGCATCGACTATGCTCTACTGTATTTCGATACTTATTTTTGATTACAAATATTCTCTTGTCACTTCTCGACAGTCACATAGATTCATCTGAACATGCAATGACAAAATTCTGATTTCCAATAAACTGATAAAAGGACTTCGGGTGTGAATGTATCTAATGATATTCACACCCACACTCTAGTTTATTCTAGAAACTGTTTTTAATATATATATATATATCTGTTTCTTTGGTTATAAAGTGCAAAACAGATGTTATCATATGTTTAAACCTTACGAGTGTGACAGACGAGTATCACGATGAGAAAGATTCGTAATAAAGAATATTCGAAAATCTCAAAAAATGCATTCTTTCTATTCATGAGACACAGAGTATGAGTGCAAACGATGATGGCTTTGTGGTTCATCTTCATATAACCAAGTCTAGTTTTATAAGCGAGAAGCAGTTAATAGAACAATGCTTATTGCACAAAACATCATTCTGCTAAGCGAATTAATTAGTGATACGAAGGAAAGCAGAGTTTCATAGATATGTCTAAATAGTGTATCTTCTACTCATACATGGAATTTGTTTCTCTGCATCATTGCATGTATTTATAAGACTGGAAGTTGATGCCACCTTATCAGATGCTTCGTCTTCGTCCAATTCATCTGCTAACATTATGCGTTCGAATGCTTGTATATATTGTTTCAAACAATATATCTTGGGTGTGGGTGTGGGTGTGTGGGTATGTAGATGTTAGTATGAGTAATAATGCAGTGAACGCCCACGCCCACACCCTTACAGCTGCAACCACCTCTACATCTTCCTCAATCCGTACATCATTGTCGAAAGGAGTGTCAAATAATTCATTTCCTGTCGCCAAAAGACGGACTGAAACGTCATGTACTAATGCGATGTTATCATGGTGGTTAATATAAATAGTGGATGGTAAAATAATATTTGATCTTAGATAATCTAGTCTTTTTTTCCAATGACAAAGATCCGTTTCAATGAAATCATCTTGTTCTTTGGCTTTTTGCAATTGTTCAGCTATAGGTTGAAGTTTTGTTGATAGACTTTTGATATGAATAGCTACGAGTTGTGATAATTCATGTCGTAATTCTGTTGCTTTTTGTTGAATTTTTTCAATTGTTCTTTTCCCCAATCATCAATTTGTTGAATAGCTGATGGTATATTATGATTGGAAGATTCTTCAATGAGAATAGTCTTAAAACTATTATAGTCGCTAAAGATTCCATTCATTTCTTCATTCAGTGAAGAACGATGATCATAAAAATGTTTCGTACAAAATGTTTATGAACATCCCCCATAATGAGCTATACCAGCTTGCTTACAACCATCGACTTTTTCACATTTTTTACGTATTGTAGAAGATGCCATGCGAATGATTTTATAAAGTATCAGAAAAACAGTAAAGACAAGCAAGAAAGTGCATTATAAATAACCGCTTCACTTGCAGTTTTTATTCACCGAAAAACAAAAACAAAACATCATTTATCTTATCGGTCATTCTTTGTTATAAAATAAAAAAGACTAGGTGGTTAGTCACATTCGACTCAAATATGAGATTTGATATTTTTCTTTAAGTTTGATAGAGCGTGTGGGTGAATAGGTGTGGATGTAAGTCTTGGTACAAACTTCTTCTCTCAGCCAAATCCACACCCACATCCTCAAGATGGTCACAAGCAAAGTACACTATCACAACATCAGTATAGATGACAATAGATTTTAAATCTTTATTATAAGAAGAAATACATGACATTAAAAAATTCATAATCATTGACCGTGTGATTTCAAAGATCGTTTTAAAATTCTGGAATAAGACACAATAAAGTCACATAGGAAGTTATAAAAAAAGCTGGAATAATCATAGAGTTTGCAACCATTTACGAATAATTAAAAGTGCAGTTGCTATAGAAGAATCCAATGTTTCACTTACTGCAGCTTCGAAACGAGTAATCATAGTAGGAACACATTGTGGTACTGTCTTGATAGCTTGCTTAAAGCCATCTATAGTCCACAAATCTTCATTGATAATCGGCAATAACATCAGCCAGTCCATTGGCGGTAACTCACACACACCATTATCAACATAACACGATGGATGCGAGTCAAAGGCTATTTTTTTCAGTGTTTGACAATTCTTTTCGCAGTTTTTTAGTGGCGATATTAGAGCTTTCTGTAAACAGTTCATTGCCGAATAAAGCCAAGTCTGCCCTTTAGAACTGAAAGAGTTTGCACTATGATCAAATTTTGTACAGTATTTTAAACCGTAACCGAGAGCATAACCGTCTGAACTGCATGCTGTCTTTGCTTCCATACAGTTCGTATAGAATAGGCAACTTCTCATTGGTGGATTTAGACATGTCGATGAACACATTGGATCTGATGTACATTGGTTGTTGCAGTCTTTATTACAAGTGCTGTTGCATGTATCAGATCCATACTTATCAACATTAAGCTGTGATGGATATAGCCCATCGGCAACGTTAGAAACGCCCATGACAATATGAATCTGTTCAGGTTGTGGACCAACGAGCATCGTCAAGTTCATCCAGTTTGTTGCTCCCGATGCATAGTCAAAAGCACCCAGACCAAGACTATTCATACTTTGTGATACTGTCTTATAATTTCCCGTACTGGAACGGAGTGTTACACTGAAGTAATCATTAAATTGTGAACCGAAATAACCACCGGGTACTTCTGTTGTAACAAATTGATATTCAGCGTAAACCTGGGTTGCATTTGCTACACTTGTAAAAGAAGCAGTCTGCGTCTGTAAATCATAAAACTCATGTGTATCAACGCTTAGCCACTTATTATTATCAGCGGTTTGTTGTCGTTTTCTAATGTCATGACCACTCACAAGTGGTATTAATGTTACATGTAGTTCAGAAGAAGATGGTGACACACCAGCTAAGCCAATTTGGTTATCGACTGTATGAGCAAACAGCGAAATAGTTGTCGGTGGTATACTTTGAAAAACAACGACGCCAGAATCGTTCGTAATACCGTGTTGACTAATTCGAGCATTATCTGTAATATTTATTTGAACAGAGACACCAGACGCTACAGTTCCATTAGTAAAGAAGACACGAACTGGCATCGATATATTACCAAAATATAAATGCAACGATGTAAAAATTGGTAAACCATATATATCCTCTGCAACCAGACTGAGTAAAACTGAATCATCGGCAGGAAAACCGTTTACAATTGTAATACTGTCATTTGTACTCGTACAATTTACAATGTTTAACGCTGTAATATTTGCTTCAGTGTTCATGATTCTATCGGCATTATTCGTGAATAAAGCGTAATTTTTTGCCCCTAGAATTGGAATAGACAAATTGAAAGTGATACGGGTATTTGCCTTATTGAATCCGTATTCGTTGATATCATTTGGTAGGATTACTTTACTGAGCGACACCGTCCTATTAGGATTGTAGGAAACGCTAGTTGTCGAAGTAATTGTAGTTGTTTCAGTTGCCGCTATTAATAATCAAAAACAATCAATACGACAATACATTGAAACTGATATAATACTCTGAACTCCTCAGAGCTGCCACTTACGTGTAGTTTGTTTTGACCGATTAGTTATCAGGACAACTGGAACGACGATTGCAACGATAGCAATTATGATTATTACTGATAGGCCAAAAATTAGTATTGCTAATCGAGAGTGTGACAACATTTTAATTCTCTATACTTTTAACTGAAATGAGAAGTCGTTATTACGTGCACTTATATATATATATACATATATATGTATATGTATACTTAAGGAAGGCTGAAGTATACTATTGACAAAGGTGAGTAATCATGGAATATTCTACTGACTGAAGTAAAATATTCCAACAAAAGTAGAAGTATACTACGTCAATAAACATCCCGTGTAAAAAGAATTCCCTCAAAAATCATAAAAAAATCTGATTTTGAATTGGTTATACTCATACGATTTTAATCATTTATTTGCATAGCAATAATCACCGAAAAATCATAACATAATCAATCATTTTTTAGAGTGTGGGTGTAAGTTCGGGTAATTGTGGGTTTATTCTGTACTCACATCCACAATCACTCTCACCCACACCCACACCCTTTAGTCGTATCAATGCTTCTATTATTTCTTAGAAATAAAGTAAGAAGAAAAAATGAAGACGAGGATGTGAGGGTGAATGTAGAGGTGCGGGTACTCAGATGATTTTCGATTCATACCCATACAGACCCACGCACACACCCACACCCTCAAGTTGGCAGTTTTACTTTTCCTTGCTTGAATATTGTTTGAGTCGTTGCAATCCGTCTTGCCGCGAAATTATATGTAAATATTACCTTTTTACATTACTTCTTTCACCATGAATCAGTTTTCCTTCTACCGCAAATAATAACTTATTTTTCAAATATTGACACATCTGTTTTGTTGGTTGGTAGAACCGTAATACTTATTTTCCTACTGAATGAGTAATAACAATGATACCAATCATTGAAGAATCAATCTATTATTGTATTATGAATTGTTAAGAAGGGTTTTTTTATAAAAAAAATTCACGTTCTATAGTCAAATGATGATTAGACAAAAAACAACTTGATTGAAGAAATATTCAAGATTTAACTAAATATCTAAGAGACGATGCTACATCTTCATATTTAGGAGTTCCAATGCGAAATCTTGAGGATGGATATGAGTAATGAATGAGAAGAATACCCACACCCACACTCATATCCTCAAGTCTTAAAATAATGGTTAATGTAATAGCCATTATTTCGTTATCAGTTAAACAATTTCTCCATGCCCAAGAGGCATCATTTTAATGCCTGTGACGAGCAGAATTTTTTGTGACTAATTTTTATCAGTATCAGTGTGTAAATTTGAAAGCATTTTAACGTCATTACACCATTATTTTTTCCGCCTTGGTTTATGTGAAGGACATTTTATTTTATCACACGTTTTTAATTGATTTTATTCATAAATAAAGGGAAGTGAATCATTCTCCACTTGCTCTCTACTAAATATTGACATTGCCATGTCGCCCCGTGTATATATATATATATAGACTGTCATCTATGTCCATAGTCACACATAAGAAATTCAAATACGTTTTGTAGTAACATACGATTATTGTTAAAAGGACACTCTTCGCGAACCAATGGGAAACAGCAGCAGTAAGAAGCATCTTAAATCTGGTGATTATTTTCGTTAATTCCATAAAGTATTGAATAATTTCATGTATCTCTTTATGAACCTAGGCTTAACAAAACTAATAAAATATAAGGCCCATTTTTCAGATTCGCCTTGCTCGTTCGCAGGCGGATTTATGTCATCTAATGCGGGCGCAAGTCCGGCGGGATGTAATTTTAGTGCTTGTTGTAGTACAGGTGGTGGCGGCGGATGTGGCATTAGCAGTGGTGGCTGTGGTTGTTGAACTTTTGCTTGATTCTTTAAAACTATCTTGTACAGAACGATTCTTTTTGCAAGAATTTCAAGCAGAGTAATATTTCTATGTATGCATAAAACCTTTTTTAATCTATTCACGAATATATTCGTGTCAAAATAAAGACGTGGATATCTTTTTCTTTTTTATTCTTTTATCTTTTCATACCATTGAGGGTGTGGGTGTCGGCAACGAAAAAGAAAAGATGAATCCACAACCAATCCTACCTACAGCCTCAAGATTTTCATTAAATAAAGAGGTATATTATTTATTCTTAAAATTTATAATAAAACCGCTAATGTATGCGAAAAATATTTTATTTTAATTATACCATAAACTTCAGTTTTATATGTTGGAATATTCTAATGCTTCCGCTGTCGTGTATTACTCATGGTCAAAAATACATATATTCAATTATTTTTCTTTTCGTTCTTACCTTTATCTATTTCGTTCGGAAGTATTTATCATTCCCATCAAAATGACTCATTGAATCTGCACATTTTTTCCTTTTTTTTCTGCACTTTATGTTGGAAATTACTGTGCAATATCATACATTACTCGAATAAAACACGTTTTATTATCGATTTATAATATTGAGAATATTTATATATGGAACAAATAAAACGTCAACGAAGTAATAGTGTGAATATTTATGATAATAATAAAAAACAAAAGATTCAAGGTAAAATATACACATAATTCTTTTTTATAATTTCTATTTTTTTTTAGTTGATACGAATTTGTGAGTAAATCGAAAATATTTGTTAAAATGAAAGTTCTTGTTTTTTTAGTTTATTAAAAGAAGTGATCACATGTTTTGAAGATCTTTCTAATGAATTAATCTATGAAATATTTGAATTATTAGATTTTGATCATGTTTATGAAACTTTTTATCCACTTAATGCACGATTTTATAATCTTATAACGAATTCAACTCTTCCAATTGAAGTTAATCTTTCATCTGTATCAAAATCGACATTTCAACGATACAATAAAGATATTATTCTACCGAATAAACACCGAATTCATTCACTTCATTTATCAAATCCTTGTTTATACGATGATATTTCTTCACCAATTCATATTCTGCCTGATTTTCGATACCTTAAAACACTTAGTCTTAATGATATAGAATCAAAGTGTCTTCAATATGTCATTCCTACATTAGTCTCATTACCATGTCTCTCTTCGTTATCTATCTCATCTGCAGACAATGTTCAAAATAAGAATTCTATCTATTCTCAGATAATTCGTCTGGCTTCATTGAAATATTGCAGCTTATCATTAAAAGGATCAGATGACAATGAATTATTATTGTCGACACTCGACAAATATAGTCCCATCGAACACTTAATCATCAAATACAGTATTTACACCAATCAACTTTACAGCTTATTATCGTATATTCCTCAACTTCGTCGTTTATATGTTCGTGATATATGCAACTCATGGACGACGTATATGAAACCATATCCACCTATATTACCCTATCTAACACATGTTTCACTAGATTCTATCAGCATGGAGTTCGATCAATTTCAACAAATGGTCATAGATATGTTTCATTTAGTACAAGTTTTGTATATTACCATAAATTATCATCTCGGCCAAATGTATATAAATGCTAATAGCTGGGAACAATTGATATTAGCTCATATGCCGAATTTACGTATATTCAATATTCGACTTGAAAGTTTGCCGAGATACATTACTACTGAAAATCATAATGATAACCAAGTGGTATTGACTAATCCTACTGATAAGTTTACATCTTCATTTTGGAGCGAACGACAATGGTTTTTTATACAACAATTTGTTCACGAAGCATATGGAAACTGTACAACCTTCTACTCAACAAATCCATATAGGTATTGATAAACTAGATTTTGAATTGTACTATATGTATATTACTTTTACTTTTCAGAAGAAAATATTATATATTAGGCAAGGAAATTCATCCATCAACTTCTTTAAATCCGAAGAAGAGTCACTTGCAATCTGTTCAACATCTTCAAATTGACGATGCAAATGAAACAATAGATTGTAAATATTATTTTCCAAATGTAACTACGCTTACTCTTGGATATGGTTTTTCGCGAACTCGTAAGTTAATTGCAAGCAATATCAACCATATTATTCCTTTGAAACAACTGACTAAATTAGTTATCAAATCTCGTTATCTTTCTTTAACAAAATTAATTGAAGTATTACGCTTTACACCTCATATTCGTATATTAATATTCGAATCTATCCTACTTTATCGGGTTAATTATAACTGTATTCAACAAAATGAAACTTTTCAATTAGTATCCAATACAAATATGATTACAAATGTGACTTTGAAACAAACATGTAACTTAGATAAAATTCAATTACTTGTTGCATTATTCTCTCGAATTCAACATCTAACAATAGGTCATAATATGGAAGATTTAGAATCAATAGTACGATTTCTATTGAAGAAAAGAAATCAAAATATTAGTCAGTTGTGCTCAATCTGTTTTCGATTGGTGTGTGAAAGTTCGCTTACAAGATTGAGAACATTCATCGAATCTGAGACATTACTTACTGATTATACATTGAAAAAAGTCAATACTGATATACATTTATGGTGGTAATATTGATATATATTAATGAACTATTTCATTTTTGAATTAGATACATATTTTAATCATAAGAAATAATGCGAAAAGAGTGTTTTTTTTTTCGTTATTAAATGATGATGCAAGAAAGAGAAAAAACGTTTTCTTTCATCACCTTTTATGCAATGATTGCATCATTGTGTACAATACTATAAAAAGAGCACATGTTTGATTTATTTCTTCGGCAAGTGGTGTAATGGGAACATACTCGAGTCGCATTCGAGTGATAACGGTTCGAATCCGTTCTTATCCCCCAAGCTTTCTTCGTAATTTCTCGAACTTTTAAGTTTGAGAATCTATACAACGACTTTCAGTTCATATCACACTTTAAAGCAGCTCTACCATCACTTTCTATTCAGTAAGTGCTTTTGAGCATGTGTGATATGTCCGATTGTCACCAAGGATTATGTGTGACTTTGTTTCATTCGTTTGAATATTAAAAATTACGAATGAAACGACACATAATTGGTGACGATTATTTGGACGCATCTTGATCTTACTGATAAATTTTTTTATATTGTTTTGATTTTATTTATTGAATGATTATTTTTCTCTCTAGTTTATACACTTGATCATATTAATATATCTTTTTAGAAATAGACGATGTAATTGTCATTGTAAGTAAAAATAAAACTTGATCATTTCTGTGTGATTCGTGCAGTGATAGTTTGATCGATGGTATTCTGAGGTTGAATTCGTGGAGCTCTTTCTCTTGATGACAACCCTAGTCGAACATCTTGTAAGTAAGATCTGGAAATCTTGAAATTCGTAAGTAAGATCTTGCCAAGATCTTAAAAAGATAATTTCTTTTTTTTGAGAAAGCATATCTTGATCATATCTTACGTATCTGTAACACAGATCTTATTAAGATCTTTCCTCAAGATATCAAGCTTTTCAGAAGACATGAAGAAAAGTTCAATTGTAATTATCTTGTACCACAGATCTTATCAAGATCTTTACTCAAGATATCAAAACTGTCAGAAGAGTGGAAAAAAGTTAAACTGTAATTATCTTGTACCAAGATCTTGAATAAACTAAAGCGACATCATTAATAGAAAAAAAATAATTCAAATATTTGAATTCTTTTATTAAAAATATTCATAAACCATAACAGAACAGAAAAAAAAAATAAAAAAAGCTTTTTTACAGTCCTCATACATATGAACCAATAAAAACAAAGAATGAACATAAAGATAACAAACGTTATAACGGCCAAGTCTTTATCTCATAAAAGCATGAAAAAGCTTATTTAAATAATTATGTATCGATTAATGATGATATATTGGTTCTTCTTAAATATATTAATCATGATTTTTTTCGACGAACGAAATATTTTGCAATTGTAAAAATGAAATTTTTTTATGACAATGATGAGAATGAAGAGACTTAAATTAGAAGTTTTTATGAAATAATTTTTGAATAATTATATTTGTTTTTTAGAAATTTACTGAAGTTTACTTGCGTCAATTTTAATATTAGAAAAAATGATCAATTCGATTAACACGTACATTATCAATCTATGCTAGTATATCGAGTTGTTGAAATAAACTACGCATTTTTAGACATGTACGTCATTTGTTTTAAAATAATTAGTTACTGTTGTTTACTCGTTTTAGTTTAATTTTATTTATGCATATTATTAATTTTAGATATAAACAATAAATTTTGTTCGAAAAGTACGACTCAACGAACAAGATAATGTACGCGTTAATACCGCTTGGCACGCAATGAAAGTGAAGTATTTAGGATGCTTCGAAATAATGAACACGAAGACGAAGATGATGATCTTATGGATGTCTCTAATTCACTGGATCCAGTAGCTAGCGATATTTCAGATAACGATGCCGTTGTTACTGTTGTTCAAGCCGTTTCATTTTCATCATCATCGTCTGATGCTGAATTATATGATGAAGCTGATTCAAATTTATTTTTATTATTTTTTATCTTGTATTTCGTGTACTTCTGAATGATTTGTGTTTATACAGATGATTGTGAATTAAAAACAGTTGTTATGGTGTTTATATTTTATTACGTTTTTTTCTGAAGTTTGTAATTGTATTTGATGTTCACGTGTGTTATTGTATGTTCATGTAGGTCTTAAATTTAAATATATTAGTGCAAGATCTGAAGATCTTACCGAGGTAAAACGAAAATATCATTCATTACAAGATCTTATGCTCAAGATTTCAAATATCTGTTACCAAGATCTTAACAGGCTATACATAAGATATTAACAACGTGTACATAAGATCTTAACAATCTGTACCTAAGATCTAGTCACAGATCTTGTGTACAAGATAATCAAATTATCTGTACCTATTTTTTCAAGATCTGTTCACTTATCTGTTCCTAAGATCTTGGCCAAGATCTTGCTTATAAGATGTTCGACTAGGGAAGGCTTGTATTGTCTTGATTAGATGTTTTCTTACTTTGTCTGTAAAAATCAAGTTAAGCAACATCCATATACTGAATCCGAATGAAAGTGAGACAAAACTGACTCGTTGTGCATAAGGTAATGATTCTGCATGAGGGAAAAATTGTGCTCGAAGAAAGAAAATCAAATATGGAAAACTCATAAAGAATATAACACCAACAATGATAAGAAGACGACGAATAAAACGAAGCTCACGACGTTGTCGATGCCGATTAGCTGCACTATGTTGATTATTTGTTGTAAAAGTATGTTGTTTTGTAAAATGAACAATTCGAATATAGATTAGAACAATGATAGTAATTGGACAGAAATAGATAAAAATTGACAAATATAAAAAGATAATTAGATCGTTCAATGATGCCTAAAATAAGAATAAACAAGAATTTGAAATCTTTATTAAAGAAATCTACCTGACAAATCCGACTACCCGATTGATATACGATTCGTCCAATCATTAACGCAGGAATACCAAATGTCATCGAAATCAACCATTGGATGATCGTAATAGACGCTATGACTTTGGTTGATCGAAGATAACGTCGTGTTGCAAAGACGACTACAAAAAGCCGATGAAATGCTTGAACACAAAGTGTTTGATACAAGAGACCAGCACCAGCATGAAGAAGAAAACCTCTAAATGAACATAATTTATCATTACCATCACTTGTCAACTGATAGATTGCTTGACAACAACAAGTAACATTGACAATAATACCAGCAATGGCTGAATTTAAAGCAAGCATGATAGTTGATGTATGAAATTGACGATGAGAAGCAACGATACCAATAAAGATCATGGCAAAGATAATACCAAAAATACTACATAAAAGCATCCATAGAGATGATAATAGTTCAAGAAAATACATATTTAATATGTTTTAGTTTCCATACAAATGATTTTTAATAACAAAATTACTTTTTCTTATGCGTAGGTCATCGATGAAAGAGACTTTTGATTATGAATGGAACTTTTTATGAATAAGCATAAATATCTTTTGAAACTGTGCACCGCATGTTGCTTTAAATAATTATTTTATGTTTGAATATTATTGTAAGGATTATTGAAGGTTTCCTTTGCTATCTACAAAATAATAATGTTTTTCTTCCTTATCATATATAACGGGAAAAATATTTTCAAAGTATGACATCGACTAATAAATCTAATTTTGTTCCAAGAAGTGAATTGACGCTGTAATTCTGCTAATTGTTTATCAACATTATTCGTTGATGATATTTGAAATTTTTCTGAATGTGCATCTGGTAAATTAATTTGAATCATATTTTCTTTAACAATTTCATTATCTAAAATATTTAATTCATTTTCAAGATCAACATCTATTGTATTTAAATCATCAATACCATTCGATATTTTCATTTGTTCTGTTATATCATCAATAATATCTTCATTTTTTTTTTGTTGCCATTAATTTTTGTGTACGTTTTAAATGTTTTTGACCAATATTTAAACTATCAGTTACTTGTCGATTAAATTCAAGTTGTTTACGTCGTTTTATTAAATGTATTGTACCTGGACGATCAGGATTTGATTTTGTCAATCAAGTATTTATTCATCATATCTTCACTTTATTGTAAATAATCGATTGTTTATTTATATGACGTGTATCTTAGGTTTTGAATCACCAAATAAACGTCGAAATATAATTAAAAGAACAAAACAAACATCTTTCCATAATTTAAAATAACAAAAAGCGCGTTCATTTTTTTTTTTGATTCGTTATTATTGACTTGTATTTAAACAAAAGAATCATAACTAATGTGATACCTGTATAAAGAGAGATAGAAATTACATATGGTAGACACAAATCAAATGAAGGCTTTATCGAATACAGTTCGGTAAGTAAATAGAGAAGAAATAAAATCATATCGAATGTTTACGAATTATTATAGATAGAATCTGTGAATATTTTCGTAAGAGTTTAGTATATTAATTCTTTTATTAATTTTTCTAATATTGTTTTAAATGCTGTTTTTTAGAGCTTCTTGTTGATATCTTATTCTAATTTGAATATTTATCGACTCAATCTCATTACACAAGTCTAAATATTTTTGATGTATCAGTCAATCAAGATTGCTTATCAATACAAAGAAGGTTAATGAATATTTATCAAAATATTCACATTCACACACCTCATGGTTGACTGAAATTCTACATCGAAAATATTTTGATTAGTTGAATCTCTACTGCAAAAAACTTCGATTGATGCAAACCTGTAAACACAAACATACAGATATAAATACACTTTAATTTATTTCGTATGACCGCTCTATCCGTCGAGAGGATATAGTCTGAAAAGCATATTCATTGTTCAAATCACTGCTACATTGCTCGATTGTTTATCAAAGATAACTATCTTCATAGCACGTAATATTTATTGATTAGAAGAAATATAGAGAAAAGCGAATAGTGACCTTGAAAAAAAAAATAATTCAAGCTGGTATAAAAAGATAATGATGGAAATATAAATACTTATTTTTCCATCTTAATCATATATGAAGATATAATTATCGAAATATTTTAAGCGCAGAATTGTTCTCACATGACAAATTGTTTAAGACTAACCAAGCCACTTAGCAGAGCGATGAGCATAGAATTAATGATGGCTGTAGACATAGCATCATTTCTTCTGGCACTTTCACTACATTCAGGGGCACGTAGATTGCGAAGTTCGATGGTACTACTATCCTGGCTGAGCGTGATCTGAATCGGATCGCCCAAAAACGCTATTTGAGTTTGAAAACTATTAGGCATCGGAATTAAAATATTAAGATAAGCTGTTGAAGGACATTGGCCGACGAATTGGCATTGTACTCGAAGATAATTATTGTTCTCGCGTGATAGACTTGCTTGTCCAGAAGGGCAGCAGCATGTTTTTGTATCACATCTGTGTACCATATTGAATGTACCGACCCAGTTGGGTGTTGCCACTGGTGATAGCGACGTTACTGGCTTGACACTCGCTGTGACTGTAACAGTAGACGAGGGCGTAGATCTAGAAGTTGAAGTTGCTGTGATGGGTATGCAGATTAAACTTATAGAATAGTGTAATGAACATGAGCGAAACAATTCTTTGCATCTTATAACAACATAAATTTGTGATTTTACACCTCCAACATTGAAACCACTGCCCTTATTAAAACACGAAACGGTGGAGTTGATTGATCCAGCAGTATAGTATGATAAGTCTGATGGATTATCCTTTGTATAAATTTGAAATCCTGATCCATCTTTTGATTGTACATTGAGGGAGGATACAGCTGCTGCTGTCCCTGCTCGACATGGATCAGTAAGGGAAAATGAACGCTCACTATTTGCATTTATCGTGACATTAACCAAACAAAATCTGCAATCACATGTTTGTCCGTCCAAAGTTCGAACGAAAATTGTCATAAAAAGTAATGATACTAATACGG